AAACTTAAAACAAGGTTCTTTTGGAAATAAGGAATTATATTATATTAGTTCTCCACATATTCATTTAATCTACATGGACACATTGTGCAGAGTTACTAACAAGAGGTAAGCTTAAGCATATTTGCAATTTCACAACAGCTGTAACACAAAGTCCAACATATCAAACTGTTCACATTCTTCACCTTGATAAGTGCATCTAAAATAAGCCCCCCCCCCTCCCTGTGAAGTTGACATGTTGGACATGTTCTCGCCCCCGACAGCCCGTCCCTGCCAGCTCTTGACTGGCAGCTGCCATCCAGCTCGGGGCCGTACAGCCTGCAGATCGAGGTGCAGCCCAAGTCCCACCACCGAGCCCACTACGAAACAGAAGGCAGCAGGGGGGCGGTAAAGGCCATGGCAGGAGGACACCCCGTCATCCAGGTCAGCTCAACCAACAGTTTTCTAACTTTCCTGGCTGATTTTAAAGCAGCACTATGTAGCTTCTTTAAACTGGGAAACAGCGCCCCCTGCAGCCACTGGGGTGTTAAACTTTGGGCTCTGAATGTTCCTGCCAGGTGAAGGATCCAAAAGCTGCATTATGTTGCTTTACAGAAATCCTTGTCTACCTGAGACCCTTAATCACAGGTTGCACATTTCTTAAAGCTGTGATCACTTCAGCCAGAGTCTAATTTTCCCTTCTTAGACTCTCTTCTATCATCTCACGACCTCTTTAGAGAACCTCAGAACTAGACTGGTTTCCTGTGATGATTAGACCAACACACGGTGCAGCCATTAGACTCGTTCCCCCCCCCCCACCCTGTCCTGTTTTCTCCCTCATGTGTTAAAATGGATTTGGGCTGACATGTGTTTCATGACCGGGCTGTTGTGTTATTCAAAGATGTCCCATTCCTGAATGGAATACCATAGATATGCTATTAGACAGACCGGTCCACTCAGTCAGTTCCTGTCCAGACGAGGGTGAGTCAAACTTTTCCACTGCGTTTGTCGAGTGCAGCGCAGACAGTTACAAAGCGATGTAGCATGGGCCAGTAAAAGCTTAGTCATGAGCTTTAACCACAGTAGCTCCGGTGGTCGAATCGAAAGAAGAAAAAAATGTGGACAACTGCAGTTATGTTTTGGTTATAAACCCATCTGGTCCCCGACCATTACTCCTCACCGCTGACCTCAGCCTCTGAATAAATAGAGGGTCTGAAGCAAGGAGTCGGGTGAAGTGAGTGGTAAGCGGGGCTGTCACTTTAATGAATACCTTTTGACGTTTTATCAACACGTTACAATGACTCTACACGTTCACCAGACATTCGTCACGTATGAGTTTTTGTTTCTGTCTTTCGGTTGCGATAATATTTTGGAGTGAGTGGTTTTGCCTCAGAGGAGCTGGGAGCTAATGTAGCTTATGAGTGTGAATAGGGAATGCTAATGTTGCTATGCAGACATTTTGAGGTGAAACATAAGCTGTGTCCAAAGTCGATGCTGCAAATACAACAAGGTTTTGGCTGAACAGTGCGTTCACACTGGAAAAGTGACTGAAACACTGAAACTGGAGTTTGGAATGTTGATTTTGTTTGTGTAAATAGGAGAATAATAAATCAAACAAGTAAATTACATCTTAGTTTTTTGTCTTAAACACATAAAGTAACAAAGGTTTTTGGTAAGAAACCCTTAAATCTGTCGATTTTAGAACTGTGACAGACACATCGTGAGTTTGAAAAGTTGTATCACTGCGCTCTGTGGTGGACAAACTTCATGATGGTGACGTAGCTTCTTTATAAACGCACGTGTATGATTAGTATGTAAGTTGTGGCGTCTTGTTCTTTCTGTCTGAACATGTTGATGTGTCTGCGATGAGTTAAAAATCAACTAATTATTTTGGCTTCAAGTCAGTACAGAGCAGAAATGTTTGTTTTACGAGAGTGGAGGAGTTTTTACTGCTTGAAAAAAAAAATCTAATAGATTCCAAATGATGATAAGATGTCTCGGGAAACCAAAAACATAAGTATTAAATATTAGTAGAATCACATTATGATTGATTTCATGTATACTAACTGAAAACACTCTGACAGTAAACACTGTATACCATGAGTTTGTAGTAGGACATTTACACAAGTGTAGTTTCCCTCTGTAATCCAACTTTGAAGTATTTTTAGTTTAACGGCGTTGTGTTGTATTTGTCTTAAAGTCTCCTGCAGGGTTTTGTGAATCACGGCACAATGTGTGCAGCAGCAGCAGCAGAATGGTGGAGAGCAAAACGTTTGGTACTATCCAGTGTGTCGCAACAGCAGCCGCACATCTGCAAGACGCACGTATGTGTCCATGAGAAGGTGCTAATGATTTAATGACAGGGATCTGGGTTCACCCGGCTGTAATAGAGAGTGTGTGTTCACTTTAAACCTAAACTCAAACCTCCCCCTACTTTTACGCCAGCTACCACCCCAACCACACAGACTTCCCTTTGTTTAGGAAAGTTCCCGTGTGCACGGCTGACATCACTGTGTGCTGCGTCCTGCGGAGGCGGCAGCGACTAAACCACACACGTTTCTGGCAGGCCCCGATGGAGATGTTGGAGGGAGCTTCAGACGAGGCAGCCCCATCCCTGTGACTTCCTGATTACATGGTACACACAGCGCTGTGGACGCTGGCTGACGAAGCCTCTGCGGCTTCATCCCGATGCTCCCGTGATTCAAACCCTGCCCAGACTTTACAGAGTTTATTCTGGAAGGTCCTGTTCAGTGCGGTGCACGTTTTTTCTCTCCACGTTGAGCATCCAGCAGAGCTACACTGGCTGTTTTCTGTTCTCTCTCAGAGCCATCGACGCTGCCTGCCTGCCTGCCTGCCTGATGCAACCACACCCACCCGTCCACCAGCGGCAGACTGAAGAATGCCCCTGTGAAGTGCTGTGTGCAGTCCTCACCGCACTTAATGCTCAGGGTTTCATGCTGTATTCTGGTGCAGAGGAAATACCCCTGTTCCAATCTGTGAGGTCTCCTCTGTTTGAAGTCAACTTTCATAACCCAGATTTAAACCTTATTATTTCGCAGTCATGTGCTTTCTCTTGGCTTTGATCCTTGTGATCAAATTTAGATTTCTAAGCAAAGTCATATCATGTGAAACACAAAGCGTGACAGCTTGACTCACTCGTCTCACACTGGACTATCCCTCTCTCCACTAAAATTGGAACATAGGAGACGTTATGTTTGTGTCTGTGTCTGTGTGTGTGTGTGATCCCGCTGTTCGAGCCTCGGAGAGGTTGCCCCGGTCCGCTCCTCACCCCTTTCCCCTCCTCCTCGGTGCCTTGTGCAGCCAGAGTCTCGGCATTCCTCTTGTGGGTGATAATACGAACGCAGGGAGGGGTGGCGGTGTCAAACTGCCAGGGTGGAGGAGCGCTGGGTTTACTTTCAGTGGTATCACAGGGATTTAATTGCAACAACAAATCATAGCTCCCGCCTGCTGCAGCTGCTTTGCAAAAAACATATTCGGATTGTGGAGCGAGAAAACCAAAAGGGAATGTTTCTTGATTGCAAGATTGCAGCTTCGATTATTTCATGTCCTGGAAGTGATGGATGATGATGCTGACATGAGTCGTGAATGTTTCTACAAATGCACAATTTGTCTTGAAGTTTTAAAGGGAAACGACCAGAAACAGTGAAAATCTGTGATGGGACGTTGTCAAGTTTGATCTTTTCTATTTGTCTGGACTTTGTTCCTGATCGTCTCTCAGAGCAGATTATTAGTAATCTGTTGCTAATTACGTTTTGAAAGTAACCACCTAACCTTGTGAGCGGGCTGCCTCACCTCATCACACTCCTCTCTGCTGCCTAAATAAACAGCATTGCTAGGCAGCAGCCCATTTCCTTATACAAATATACAGGGCTTTTGCAGGCTCTTAACTCTGACAGGGATCCTCCTCCAAATCACATGTTGTGCCTCCCCGGTCGGAGCCTTTCGCTCTCGTTGCGGCCGCTCCTCGCCTCCAGTTTTCTTCTTATGTAATTGAAAACTGCGGTCTTCATTTCAACACATCCCCACCGATCGTTTCAGCGCGCACTCTCATCCAGAGTGGCTTATGAATAGATGGGGTGCAGCGTCTAACCTCTGCAAGACTTTGAAGAGGTTTGATGATGGAGAAGTGAAGTGGTTGTTCATTTAGAGTTTTATTTTTAATGTAGCTTGTATTATGGCTTGGGTGACGCGGTGGTGCAGTGTTTAGGACTGTCGCCTCCCAAGAGAAGGTTCTGGGTTCAAACCTGACACCTGTCCATGCGTTGTACGTGTCCAGGGTGAACCCGATGTCGGATGTGATTGGCTCCAGCTCCGCTGCGAGCCGTCATTACTTGACTCTCCTGGTCAATAGTTCCTCTAATTAAGACCTGATCATTAGAACCACTTCAAGAGCTGCGAATTGCTCAATTTGACTGAAAATGACTTTGGACTTTTAAGTCAAACAGCATCAAGTCAACTTTATGAACTCCATTAACTCTTTTTTCCAAATGAAAATATCATTGTTGTGTCACTGAAACACCAGAAATAGCATATTTATATATTTCTGTGATGATGGAAATGTTGCCGGATCAGTTTAAACTGTCTGTGCTGGACAATGGCAACGCTCTCAAATATCATCTGTGAAGTGAAAACACAGACTTGGGCTCAGGTCACCTGCTCAGTTGATGATATTTTCACATTCGTAAGAGCCGAGTGGAAAATGAAAACAAGAACGAGGTGGAAAAGCTCCACAAATGCCAGATGCTCTTCCATCTTTGCTGTGGGAAAGAAATATAAATTTAACCACTCAAAAACTGAATATGCACAATTTGTTCATGTCATTTCTTCATTATGTTTTGTAGTGTATTCCTATACTTGTCTAGTTTTCCTTTACCCTCAATAGTTTTGACTTCGACTGCTCTTAGTCCTCCCTGCTCACGCTGTATGGATAACATACATAACTCTCAGACACCGCGTCAGTAGTAGCCGCTGTTCTCGTTTTTCAGGCTGCGGCTTTGGGCTCGGTGCCGGCTCTCTGCAGTCTGGGTGGTTGAGGTCATCCTGGCAGGAGGCCTCCTGTCAAGTAACACCTATGGAGGTCTGGAGGCGCAGCCACAGCGAGCAGCACTTCTGTTCTGACTCCAGCTCCGTCAGTGCCGGGATCACTTTACTGATAATAATCAGAGCAGGGTCGCTAGTGAGAGTTTTTCTTGACCCTGAATGGCCCGGGCCTGACGGGACTGACGTGACCTTGACTTTTGTGAAACACTAGCTCAGTCTTGTCACAAGCCGAGCGCGCGGCTCACAAATCACATTGCTGCTCGCTGTAGGTGGTTTTACTGCTCTGTGGCAGCGGCTGCCCCGGAGACGCAGCTTCTGTAGGATCAACATCTTGGCAGGCCTCACATGAACTGATGCAGGAAGTGTATTGTTGGTAGTAAATTAAAGAAGATGGTGATTAGAAGATTCTAAATGGGCACTTTGTTTGGGAACCACCACGCTGAGACCCTGAACTCTGAGGGACCTACGTTTGTTTTTGACAAAAAGCAAGCGAAGGCTTAACCACAACCGTGTCTTTTCTTTCTCTCCCTCCTCGTAGCTCCACGGCTACATGGAGAGCGAGCCTCTGACCCTGCAGCTGTTCATCGGCACAGCTGACGACAGGCTGCTGAGGCCTCACGCCTTCTACCAGGTCCACCGCATCACGGGCAAGACGGTGTCCACCCCGAGCCACGAGGCTCTGCACAACAACACCAAGGTGCTGGAGATCCCGCTGCTGCCGGAGAACAACATGCGGGCCATGTGAGTAATTAGAAGTAATTAGAACTGGTGTAAAGTGTGTTGCATAAGTCTCCAGGGACAAAAGTCCAAGTCAGGTCTCGTGTCATTGAAGACTTGTCTTGCATGAATTGACCAAACCTGAATAAATCTAGTTGAAAAAATATTTAGAGTTACAGTTTCAAGTCCACATCAAGTCTCAAAAAGTTTTTACATCCTCTTAATGGCGGCTCGTTGTTGTCTTGGGAAACTAGCTGATTTTATA